ATTTTGTACAGAAAATTGCGTGGCAGAATATTTTCAACCATCTTGCTTAAATCTTAAAGCACGCGAAAGGTCATGTGACATGGCAAAAATATTACTGGATGCTCATTGGTCCATTTTAGAAGCCACTCCCTCGGTGGCTGCACAGATGTGCACTTGTGAAATATGCGTCCCGGTGAGAGCATATCTCATTTTTCATGTCTTCTGCCTCAAATAATAATCTAATGACTCTACAATTTAAATCTTCGAAAGAAGTCTTGCAAATTTATAAATATTGCGCAGATTCTTGCTGTCTTAACACCCCCAACGGAAACGTCCGTGGTTCGAATTCCGGCTAAAACACAGCTGTTTTGTGTTTCACAGTTCACAAAACGTAACGGTCTCTATAGTCGAATTCGAACTAAAATTTGGTGAATCCTAAAATCGTTGCAGTTGGATCTGGCAAACTAAACATTTTGCTTCTCCATAATCATCTTTTAAGTATAGCAGAATGTAAACAATTGTAGAGAATGTAAAATATTATCACATTCTGTATGCATATTCTCGTGAATTGGTAAAGTGGTTAGTATATCCAATTAACCAGTGGAAGATCAATGATTCGAATGATTTTTCGCGTTTCCTGATTTAAAAAATCTGATGTGTACACCACATGACTTCCTTGTACAGAATATTAAATTATACGCATTTTTCTTGCATTTCATTTAAACTTATTGGATTGAATTAAATCTACTTCGCCGACAGCGCATAAACCACAATAGAATAAATGCATTCTTTAAAATTCACTCTTATTTGTTTACCATAGCGACACTCTGACGCTAGATTGACTTAACAGTATTATATTTCGTTAATATTATAACTCAGAATGCACAAAATTTATATGATTTAAAGAATTATCTAATCGATGCCACATGCTCTATTCACATACTATAATAAAGCTAGAACGATGTATAAAAGAAACTAAGCAAATAAAACAAAAAAGAAACAGTTTTTCACAGACGATTGAGTATTTCTCATTCAATTAATTCAGTTCTCACTTCGCGACAAGGCATAAATACTCAAAATATCTGTATTAAAAATTACGAAGTAAATCTCAAACGCTTATTTCCTCGAAAAAATTCCAGAAAGTATTAAGCATGATTTAATTCGCAATAATAAATGAAGGCGTTATCTTTGTTGTTGCGAAGCTATGTTTCTCTAAATTCGCAACAAATCCAATATCCTGCTGTTTCAAATGTAAACAATCAATGGCCGCCATCAAAAAAAATATTAGGCTTAGCGGCACTTAAACAACTTTAAAACTGTTGATAATTTTAAAAATATATCATACAGATTTACTAAAGGCATAAAAACCTTAACCGGAAGATAAGACAACATAATTCATTCATTTTTAAAGCAAAAAATGTACAGTTTACAAACATATAAGAGTAAAGAAACTGAGATCACTGAGCCGGGTAACAGATTGGATATATATATATAAATATAGTTACATACGTTTGGTGCGGCCGATTGCAACCAAAATACGAGGTGCACATCTGCATGGTATAGCAGTCTTGTATACAAAATTTCAACGTTCTGAGGCTACTCGTTTTTGAGTTATGCGAGATACGTACGTACTTACGTACGTACATACGTTCGTACAGACGCTACGAAAAATTATCTTCAGAATTCACTTTAAAATAGTTTTATAATTTTTTTGGAGGAAAAGAGTCTTTCATTCTGTCCTTACGTATAGATTTCACGTAAAAACGTCGTTAAATTGCATTCGATAGCGGTCAAAATGGATATTTTCGTTGAAATATGCTGCTTGAAACTTTTCGCGATTACAATACTTTCTTTTTACTTCGTACAAGGAAGTAAAAAATCTAAAAATCTTCAAAATATACTTAAGCTTTAAAAGAGAATCTGGAGGGATAACGAAGGAGAGATGGAAGCCTTTGGCTCTAAAAAGCTGAGCCCAGCATCAGAAACTTTATCAGACATGGAGCATATGAACTCAAAAACTGAGCTGTCGAATATTTACAACTGAACTTGTTTGGAATTACTTCAAATTGTTTCCGACCTTCTTGTTGATCTAGATCAGAGATGGCTATTGCGCGGCTCTCGCAGGAGAGAGTAGCAGGGCTCTTATGCAAATTGAGTATATGGTAATCCGAAACTAAATATATGGTAATGTAAAAATATTGTAATCTGAAACTACTCAATATCCAAAAGAAAGCAATTAATTTATTTCATTTCTCTTTGCAATGTTTTAAGTAGACTTAAACTCATCAATGTTCAAACGTAATTATTTTATTCCATTTCTCGCTATTTAAGAAATTTAATAACATTATTAAAAACTAATAAAAATAAAAATATTGGAATAATCTTTGGAATATGGTAATAGGTAGTTTGGCGACATTTTGGTAAGGTGATAAAGGTTACTATAGGACTTTAGCAGTGTACATGGATAAAGTCAAGAGTGTGCGCAATGCCGTTTTTGTGCAATTCTGGGATGTTTTTTTAAGGGAAAATAGGTCGACGTGTGCATGGATGATACCGCGTATGTGCAATTCTTAAAAACGCGACAAGCAGTAGGCGATTCTACACTTTCTCCCAATTTCGCACCTATCTTCGTCATGATTAAGCACTTTTGTTCCATAAAAGTTCTAGCATAAGCGTAATTCAGCTAGCAAATTGTTGGAAAAAAAATGTTGAGTTAAAAAAAAAATAAAAAAATAAAAATAAAAAAATAAAAAAATAAAAATAAAAAACATGCTTTTACTTCGTGAAAACAAAATGGCGTCCAAAAAAAAAAAAAAAAAAACTAGCAGGTTGCTGTAGCAGGGTTGGTCGCCAAATGTTCGCCAAGTTACCATAATCCGAAGATTAACCAAATATTGTACTGATTCTATTAAACACTTCTGAAAAGAAAGTTCTTAAATGCTAGATTTGTTTACAGATGTTTTAAAAATATTGTCCATCTTAGCAGTTAGTTGCCACATTGAGGCTTTCCAACTTATCTGAATTCAACATGCGGTTCTTACTGACATAAAGTTTGGCCACCACTGATCTAGATCAGCGGTCGTCAACCCTTAGAACTTCGGACCACTACATATATAATTTTATATTTGGCGAACCACTAATATGATTTAGAAAAAAAAAGGTAATTGCATTTATGCAATAATAATCAGCTAAACTACACATGTTTCGTTCACATTGAAAAATTACATGAAAAGTACAAAAATCTTACCTTCTTGTACAAAAAGCTCCACATTTCCATATTACTGAAAAGGAACTTCACGAAAAGCAAGAACAAACCAGCAAAGCAATATAAATAAACTGACAGCGTTATGCAACCAATTTTTAATTATTGTAAACACCATAATCATCGCTTACTCAGCAATGGCGGCATCATTGATAAACAGTTAGACAAAACAAAAACGGAAACTTTCAGTGATGCAATTATAAACAAGAATGCAGATGGCTCTCATAAAGATCTATCAAGATGTCTATTGACACGGATAAAACCTTTGTTATTAACGACCACGTAGCATATATTTGTAATTCAAAAGGAAAAAGAATTCCAGTTCGCGCTATTATTAATAACAACAGCATATTCATGGATGCCAACTCTCACTTTTAAATGTCGCTAGTTACACCTGCAAAAGTAGCTAAAAAGTGGCTAAATTCAGAAGGAATTTCGCTAAAAGTAGTAGCTAAAATTTAAAAAAAGTATAATCCATATTCCATAATGGGTTTTGCTACTCGTCATTTTTTAAACTGAACCTTCATAAAAATATAAATAAGGTCCCAATTTTTCTAAGGACCATTAAAAAGTTTTCATGGACCACCGGTTGGCGACCGCTGATCTAGATCATACTTTTACAACGTAGGCGGTATCACCATCGGTGGAAGCTGAGGACATTTCAGAGGAGGTCATTTACTGATCCGAAGGGTAGTAAGGGGACATTGGGTAGGAAGTTTGCAACAAGAACGTACACCGAAAATTTGGCTACTTCAAAACTTCTTAACAGACATTTAAACCTTCATGAATTAGACAGATATTAGTTACGCATGTTTATAAGAAGCATACTAAATTATGCTACTTCATACAAATTGAGCCAAGCTGCAGGTAGCTTCATCTTTCTGTTCCATAAGAACGGAACTTTCAATGGAAATTCTACAAGCATGACCATAAATCCATATTAACCCATTATACCCGACTAAACACGCCTTTTTCAATACACATCAATGCACGTATTCTGATAGGAATCTATGCATGCTTTTTCAGATTCTTGATTATAAGGTAGCGTAATCACTTATCTTTTAATTTAAGGCTTATGTGAAAGATTTAACATCTTAATTTCTTTCTCAAATTTATCTTAAATATAAAAAGCTATTTATTTATTAGAAAGACCACAGACCTCTGCTATAAATGCTTTAAGAAGTCTTTGATTGTTTCTATTTTATTTTCGTATTGCCGGATGAGCTTTAATTGATAATTTATTGCAACGCAAGTGCAATAAATGCCTAAAATCTTTTTCCAGTCAGTGCTTACAGATTATGTTTATAGGATACCTAATATATCATTATTGCAAGAGTAGAAAAGCTGCAGAACAAACTCGAAAGAGGCAGTGAACAAAGAAGTCCCCGAAAAGGGATATTGAGGGGGGGAAAAAAGAGGAATAGTATGAGTTTAGGTTAAGCTTTGATTTCTCGCGACTCAAAAATGAAATTTACAAGTGAAATTTAGCACACGAATTTAGAATTTATATTTCATGCTTTCGAAAACGAATGTGCCATTGACTTTCGATTTAGGCTACAAAGAGAATGGTCAAACATTATTATGTACAAGGACTTTCTTCTACTATTGGAATGTGAACCATGTACCCTCTGAAGAGTCAGTATATCTCTATTGTTTTATCTCGCATAATTGCATTTGTAAATCTAATCGCTCAGAGGAATGGTGCGAACTGATACCAATCGAGGAAATTTGTATCTTCGGGCGAGCTGATAAAACACTTTAGCAGCAGTGAGAGTACGGAGTGGTTGCTCGAAGTAGAAAATACGTGCTAATCAGTGTCACGTTCCTTCAGAGCGTTGTTTTATTTGATTGAAAACATATTTAAGCTTGTGAAATAAAATAGGAGAAATGAACGATTCCAGCCGGTAAATTTTTGATGATGTAGATGCCTTCAGATATATTGTTCTTCAAATTTTATTCTAAAAACAATATTAAGCCAAATCTTGTTTCCATGATGTGTTAAATGAACTTCAAACATAGTTAGCCTCCTCGTAGTTAGTTAAGAAATCTTTTCAGAAAGTTATGTATATTTCTGCTCGACCAAAATGATACGTATTACTTGCAAATATTTTAAAGGTAAGCATTTTTTTTTTCTTGCTTTTGAATTTAACTTACAAACTGCTGTAATCATCTACTTCATACTTTATTAGAAAAACAAATGTGTTCTTGATTATGTACAGTAAGACCCCGCTTAACGCGGGGGATACGTTCCATCGAAGTAGAGCGTAATGCGAAACAGCGCTAAGCGAGGCTATCTTAACATGTAAATAATGGGGTTAGAGGAAGACGGATAAAAAATGGTTAGGCATTAAATTTAATAATGTTTTTTTTTTCATAAAAATAAAATCAAACATTTATTTCTTACAAAAATAAAAACAATATAAACGCATATACTTTTAAAAACAAATAAAATTTTCAGTCAGATCATTCAGTCTATTCTGGGTTTCCAATTTTCTGCCTTTTTGTCAAGAAGGCATTATGATAGATTGGCTTAATGGCATATTGCGTTCAATTTCGTCGTCAATCCATATAGAAAGTCGTTTTCCCATTTCCTCTATAATGTTATTTCTAGAACGGGTAATTCTAGTTGCAGAGCTTGACGTAGTTGCAGTTGCCGATGACAGTATTTTTTTCTTTATTCTTAAGAATTGTCCTTATTGTTGAAGTTGCCAAAATCAATGCAGCACTAATTTGAGATTGACGTTCACCAGAATCTAATCTTCTAATCACTTGCATTTGAGTTTCCGCAGTGAAATGCTTTTTCTGGTTGCTTTCTTTTCTTGTGTTTTACTCGTATTATCACCCATGATAAAAACTAAAGATCATAATATTTGTCACTGTATTATTAATCGTTATAGTATTATATATCAAATTTACAATAATGTCAACAAATGTTGTTTCAAATGATAAAAAGCAAGAAACACAACTACACTGTTTCGGATATGTTATTTGGAAACCTAGCGCTGCGCACAATTTCGGAGAATCCCCGGGTTGAAATAAAAGAGCGCTAAACCCGAAACAGCGCTAAACGAAACAGCGTTAAGCGGGGTCTTACTGTAGGCGGAAGTAAATAATTGAATTTTAAGTTTCGAGAGATTTATGCATTTTGGATGTACTCAACAGATCTCTTCAGACCACTTCTAAAGATTAAGGGAAATATATTGCACAGGTTATAAGATTTTTGGATATACCTTGAAAGGCTTTTCGACGAGAAGAGTTGTGGCTTGGGAAAAGTATACAAGGCACACGTACATTTGCATGTCTTACACACATTTCGGAAGCTCATAACTACATTCGATTGCCATGAGTGGAACAGGCTGCCTTGCGTGATATCTTTTGCAATTTTCTCTGCAATGTAAATACAAGCTTCTGCAAGTGCTCCACAAAAGTCTTTATAACTGATAAGTTCTCTAGTTTTTCCCAGCAATAAATTACTTTGAGATTATTCCTTTGAGAATTTTCTTCTTTTTCCCCCTTAAGTATTTCTATTCTGGATGTTATCTGAGTGTTTTCCATGATTAGACTGACAATCACTGCAAGCAAAGAATAAATCAAATCACTTTGCATTCGAAAGATTGGAGAAAGATTGTTTGATCTAAAAGGTAACATTTTTTTATATTTCTGTTCTACATTCGAATTATCCATCACTAAAATTTCTATTCAGAAATGGCAATAAATACGGATGCACTGCTTAGAAACGAGATAGAAATACGAATATAAACTGATCAATTTTTTCCCTTCACGCAGTTTGTTCACATTTCTAGCTCGCATTGTCATTTGATAATTATTAAATATATTTGTCTCGTCCATTTCCTGTTTATAAATATGTCAAGAGGCACAAAAGTAGTTACTTACATCATATTTAAAGGTACATGACTTAAAAAGTGGTGAAGGATAAAATTTAGAATAAAGGAAACAAAGATTTCAAAAATACATGACAAAAGTAGGTAAATTTTCCGAATTTTATTCTCAGTTCAGATTATTGAGTTCTCTTTATTTTATTACTTTTTAAGCCCAAAAGGGACTCGAATGGGATATTAGTCTCGAAACGGAATTCCAGGAAATTAACAGTGGTTTTTACGCGCGGTTGCTTTCTTTATCTTGATGCAGTTTCACTGTTTGTTGACACTGTGGGTAAACAGAATGTATTTCATATTTGGAAACTGGACATAAAATATGTTCCTGATAATATATGGAGTTTAACTTAACAATTTTCGCCACTATCTTTAATTTTTATTTGTCATTGTATCAAAAACTAGCAACAATCATAAATTCCATTCAAAAACTTTCTTTATATTTTTTGAACCATGTTCTCAGTTTTTTTTTTTTTTTTTACTTCTCTTTGGTGATAATGAATAGATCTCTTTTATTCCGGTCATTTAAATACCTAGGATTCATCTAAACTAAACTAAACTCAGTGGCGCAATAGCCCTAGTGGGCAAGCATCCCTAGTGGGCCAAGGCCAGCAGTGCCCCGAAATCTGCTTTCTTGACCGGGGGCCCCGGGGTGCGTAAGCATATGCTCTGAACAAGTGGTCAGCTTGGGTCGCAAGACGCCCAGTGTTTAGTTCCCAAGCGAACTTGGTACTCATTTTATTCACCCGAAGGATGGAAATCAAGGGATGAAAGCCTGAGTCGACCTTGCCCAGCCCGGGGATCGAACCCCGGACCTGTGGTGCGATGCACTAGCCACTGCGCCACCGGGCCTCAGGATTCATCTATTGTAACATTATTCCCCCCTTTTTATGCGAATAGTTGTTTCTAATAGAGAATTCTGCAGCGCATTCTGCTTTCGGCGATATGTTGTGGAGAAAGACTGCACATTACGTTTTTTCGCCTTTTTAAGATTCAAGTTAGAATTAATCACTTTGTTTACTGTTGACACTGATCATTTTAATGATTATGCAACTGTCCTTTGACGGCTAAAGAGGTTATCACATCGCAACGATTCCTTCTAGATGGGACTTTCTGAGAAACGAGGTTCTGGTAACACTGGTTTAAACGGGAGGATTCCCAGGAAAAAAAAGCTCCGCTGGAAGCGAAGTCCAGCCTAGTTACGGAAACAATGTACCACCTACGCGGGATTTTTTGAAACCTCGACGAAAATGTTTCAGCTGAAGCTGTGTCCCGAATATAGATCATCAACTAATCAGACGAAAGTTCTGCTTCTGAAAGATCACGTGATCCAATCTGAGCGAAAACCGATTGCTGTTTGGCGCTCAAGTCTTTGTAGTAAGTAAAAATGGTAACCCAGCTGTGTGGGTTTCGTGGAAATGTGCGGGTTCTGAGAATTGTCTCTTTGGAAGAAGTAGAAGTTAAAAGGAAGAATTAATATGAAAATGATGTGCTAATTAAACCAAACCTCGCAAGTCTTAGTCAAAGATCTTGGAAGATAGGATGAATTTGTCTAAATTGTATCTTACTTGTGTTACTATATTTGTATTAGCCTTGTGTACTCTTTCCAAGCTACAACTGTTCGAGTAAACTTTCAGTTCAATTAAATTTCTTCATTTTACAAGGACACTATACAAACACAAACTTTATTATCTTACACAAGATTTGAATCTGGGTTCATTAGCATGCTACGCAGATTTCTTTTAACTACCATATCGTCCGAAGTGGTATTTGCTTACTTTGTTTTACTTGTAGTAACATAAAACATTTCTCTGTTGTTCTGGAGTACTTTAACATCTTTCATAAATTTTTTTGAATTCACTGAATTTTGTAATGCTTTGTTGTTATGTTGTAAAATTCTTCGCCGTTTTACAGTTCACGTGGTTTCTTCCACAGATTTGTTTTCTTTCTCTGTTAAATTACATTTCTAGCATCTATCTCTTACTATATCTGTTTATCTAAATATGCTTCTAAAATTTCATTGCACTTTCTGTATTATTATACAGGATCATTTATTGTTTTTTTTTTTATATTTTTCGACGAAAGTTAAATTTCATTTTTATATGTTTAGTTGATTATTATCTCGTGAGTCTTTCACCAGATTTAGAGGGGTTCTAAGTAAACGTTAAGCAAACATTGCTAACGTTTTATTCTGAATCATCAAGTTAACTAAAGTTATTCTAACCAAAATAATACGTTTGAAACAATAGGAAGCAAGAATGGCCTATTTTTATATTCGGCCTTTCAGATTTCGGAAGACTGATTCGTATAAAATGTAGGAAAGTATTCGAAACTGTTTTTAAAGTTTTGCTTCCTATCTTAATTAAAAATAATATTTAGTGCTGTCAAAATAATAAAACTAAAGTTTTACTGTTATCAAAATTCAATTATAAAAAAGAATGTCAGTTTTAAAAGTTCTGGGGCTTGTATCTGCATTTCTATTTTGATAAAAAGTTAGAACAAGAAAACTAAATAAATGAATAAATTTAAATTTAAAAAAATCTGAAAAGTTTCAGATTTTACACTACGTCCAAAAGGACCTTTTTTTTTAACGTTTTATGTGTTACCTTTATTTATTAAATATCATATTCTTCGCACTTAAACCACATAAAATTCAATTCAACAGCAATATCACAAAAAACAGTAAAACAGCATCTTTAGAATTTCCGATACAGAGTCTCGCGCGCTGAGATAAGAATGATTTTCTCCGTACGGTGTTGCTATTGCTCGCTTTGAAATCGTTGAGTTTGTTATAAAACATTTACAAAATTTGAAACAGATAATAAAACAAAATCAAAATTCGGGCTTCCGAGTGCTCATCTTCGGTTGGAGGACTACGTTATTCAAAACTTGATGTCTCTAGTACCGTTGTTCTTCCACAATGTAAGAAACATTCATGCAAATTCTTCATTATTTAGTTTCTTTAAATATAATTCAGAGTGATAATATTTGCTGGCAACAGTTTGAAAAGTGAACCAACGTAGAAAGTGAGATGACGCAAAATACCGTTTGGAGACTAATATCCCTTTGGGTCTAACACCTCTTTGGGCTAAAAAGGTTAGAATTAAGAAAGTAATAATTTAAAGAGACTTGAAATATATAAGTTTTCACGAAACTTTGTCAAAACTCTAACATTTCATTTTTTACACAATTGATATGTTCAAAAGAAGCAGAATTAGAAAT